TACGGGAAGAATACTGGCCAACGGATCTTCACGTAGTAATTTGTAGGTAATGCGAGGCTTCAAAGGAAGACTGAACTTCTTAAACTTTTGAAATAATTCAGTTTTGGACCCAGCTACGTCCAAAAACCGTTTTTTGCCTGGCGCTATAGGAAAACGCTTCTTTCGTGTTATATATACATAACAAAGCCTGAAGGCTCATAACCGGCGCTCCGATATGCACATGATTGGTTGCAACGTACTGGGCCCGGTGTAACGAGTGCGGTGTTTCATGCTGATATTATTACACTGAGATGGGTGACCAGTCCTAGATAATTACAAGCGCCAGACATGCAATGTGATCTAGTTTCATGAAGCTCTGACCCACGCAGCGTTATAAAGTTGACCTGTTTGGAACATAAGGAATCTTATAGGTACTTTCAGGGGTACGCATTTGCCGCCACCGTTGATACGATGCCATCTCACATACGGACGCAGGCAAGGGAGGGGGAGGAGGGAGCAGGCACAAGGGGCACCTGGCCCCTTCGGTCCCTCGGGAGCCGGCGGGTGTCTCGGGATTGACAATCAACAGCCCGATTGTAGGGCTCGAAGGGCCGAGGGGCTGGTCAGGAGTCTCCAGTCCGAGGAGCCGGGGTCCTCAAATGCCAATCAGAGGGTCTCTGGCGGTGAAAAGGGCCCCCGTGAAGAAGTCCCTCACTTCGGTCGAGATCACCGACAGTCGGCCGCTTGTCGGACTGAGGCCCATTTTCCAAGCATGGAAAAGGTCTGGCCCCGCGAACGACATTCAGAAGACCTCGCGAGTCGCATTGGTCGGGGTTCCCTTGTCGGACAGGATGTCCTCTGACCACACTGCATACCTAATAGGAAAATCTGTGCTGCTCGAGCCGGCCAGAGGCCCATTTGGTACCCATCACAGCTCACCACAGGCCTTCTCAGTTGGTTCGGGGCCTCTGAGAACGACAGAAGATTGACGGCAGTGTAAGGATACATGAGCCAATGAGACGGTAGAAGTGCTCCGATTCTCACGGGAGGCCTCAGTAACGAACGAGAGCCCTCTAACCCGCTTCGACCAGTGGCTCGTTGAGTGGAACTGGGTCCCCTGTGCAAATTGTTGGACCCGCTGTGCCCGTAAGTGGTCTTTTTTTTACCTCAGTGAGAGCCACTGCTTCGATCCAGCTGCAGCTGCTCCGGTCGGAAGACAACCTGCGTCGGAGAGGGGACTGATATACGATACATTCCCTGAGGGCCTCCGAATGGACCAAGGGGCCCAATCCCCATGTCGCGAATTAGCAACTGGTGAATACCTTGCGCTGGGGTGGAAAGGTTCTTAAGCCACTGACCGGGAAAGGTAATGCCCCCCCCCCTTGGTGTGCCACCATTTACTAGTGTAGTAGTGTACTATGCATCTGTATATCTACCATACTACGGTACTATCCACGCCCTCCCCGCCCCGCATATCCAAAAGTCTCTTAAATTTTTAATATCTATTGATGTTATTAATATATAAAAGCGCGAACGCTGACAAAACAGGATTATAAGGTGGAAAAGATCGGTTAAATCTGATAAACTTTTGAAGATTTTCATCACGAACCTTCATTGCGTTGTGTCGTCCCCTTTCAACTTACCAAGACTCTCCTCTAAACCACTACATTATTGTCAAACGCTTCTCTTTTTCTCCTCGACTCTTCCCCAACACATTCTTTCTTCTTTATAGTTCCACACAACCCCAAGCTTCGTTTTGCCCTCTAAAATTTCCCGAAAACTCCACATCTGTTTCCATTGTGTAATTTTTGATGTCACCTTCACTCATACATAAGGTAGATGGAAATCAAGGCACAACGCACCATGCACCATGACATTTATTAGTAATTCAATGGTTCACATGGAATGTCACATGGCCCGTGCCAGCAATAAAGTACATTTAAACGAGCACACACAAGTTGCATCTCTGAGCTGACTGTACACATTCCACTACATTTTCCTGAACAGGAAACGTGCCAACAAACGTGACATGGCGGAGGAGATCGCTATACCATGCCAGTGCTCCCAGCATCGCACCTGAGACAAATAGGCGGTCCTATAGAACAGCTGATACTCTGCGACAGTTTAGATGCACAGCAACAGAGCCAGTGCCGTCACAATAACTTTGCTTCAGAGCATCAACGCTGGATACCCATCGGTGTGTCCCAATTTAAGGTCAGTTAGTTGTCCAAAGAGGCAGCACCCGCCACGTCTCGTCCCGTTACGCGTGTGGGCTGCCCGAACCAGGCTTTGGAATTCGAGGATGGAAGAGTTCTAAGATTTGTCAAGTAGTGATTTGGCAGGATTTACGCAGCCCTTAATCGTGATGCCACGAAGATGACGATGATGCGCCGAAGACAGTGAAACTACGTCGAAACTGGTGATATGTTGCTGTTACTGACGATACCGCGCCGAATCTGTAGGCTTGACGACAGAGCGGGCCACGACGGACCCCGTGAACGGAGGAGCCCGTGCACCTGAAAAAAGACATTCAGATGCATCTGAAATTCTAAGAGTGAAGACGGGAGACCGTAACAGAACGGCACGCTTGGCAGACAAAGTCATGGTAAAGTTGAGTTTACTTTTGGTCCAGCCAAGAAAATTCCTTCCATCGTCTACACCTTAAATCATTTCACATCTTGAAGTGAGTTTTTAGTCGGCTGGGGTGGCCAGCCCATGACATACGATGGAAAAGATTTGATTTTTGATTTTTGATTTGATTAGCCAAAATTTTTTCTCGCTTTGCTATCCCTGCGAGCACTGGGATGAAAAAAATGCCGGTAAAGTCATGGTAGCTTCCAACGTCGTGACAAACATAAGATTCTCGACCATGGTTTGAGTTGTCCTCCAGCAAGGTTCGTTCACACCACACGAGACTACCTACATTAGGTTACCATTGGACGTCACATGAGGCGAAATTCTTGTGACCGGAGAAGCGGAACCATTGCATCAGATAAACAAACCTGACCTGACATGACCTTAACCTGAACTGACCTAAGCCTGAACTGACATGGTCTTGTCCTGAGCTGACATGACCTTAGCCTGAACTGACATGGCCTAAGCCCGAACTGGCATGACCTTAGTCTGAACTGACATGACCTTAGCCTGGACTGACATGATGTTAGCGTGGACCGATATGACCTCAGCCTGGACTGACATGCCCTTCAAAATTCTAGTTGCATGGCATGATCCTAACGGACAAGGAAACGTTCTTTCGTTTCACCTAGTTACACAGCTCTGCGGCCAATATTGCTGGTATACTTGTCTGATATTGGTTTGGAAATAGTAGTTTCAGTTGCTCTGAGGGCACTGATGATTTCAATGATTTATAAGATAATCTGCACTGTCTGTAACGTCGTCAAGCATGTCACATATGTTACATTAATGCCTGGGTGAAGTTGCCTGGGATAACTACTGTTTGGATTTTTTGATTAGACGATTAGATTTTTAGATATCATGGACACAACGTACTGTTGACACCGGAACATTAGGGGCTCCGTATTTCGGAGATGTATTTTGAACAAACCACCTTGTATGGATGCTTTTTTTCCCAGCATGCGTTTCAGATCATGCGACATTTTTTTTTGTCAAGGTTTCTGAGCATCAAACGAAACTCAACGAAACGTTCCTTTTACTCATCATGCTAGCAACAGCGCTGAAAAATAGATTGTAGGTAAAGGCCGCCGTGACGTACACTCCGACGTCAGAGATATAGCAATGACGGGACAGGACAGACGACAGAGGACTCGGGTGGGGGGGGGGGGGGGGCAGAAATCCCAGGATTGAGTACAAAGGGCAGAAAGTGGAGAACAGAGGACAAAGCGGCCAGAATGAAAAACAGAAAACAGATAGCGCAAAGCTCGCCCTGTCCTGGCCAGCGCACGCTTATATGTTCTGTTCAAGACAGGAAAGGACAAATCCGACCATGACAGGGCTCGACCTTATAGGAGTTTTTCACATTCGCCCAACGATGGGGCCTCAGAGCCTCCCGAAAGATGTTGGAAACTAGCAAGTTATGGCGACGACAAACACGGCATTGTAAAGCTTTCATCACGCTGCATTGGATGAGTGTGATTGCATATGGGTGAACGTAATATTGGACAGGTCAATCAGGTCATATGAATCTAATCAGAAATCATAGCTGCCTCCTGTTATGCCAAGACCTAAGATTGCCAAGACAAGGCAGATGCTGGCGTCATATGGGTTAGGAAAGATTTGCTGGAGTAAAAATAGTGAACATCGCCAGATTTGACCCATGATGCGATTTACTTGCGTGTATGTCACTTTAAAGCGCACTCAGATGCTGAGGCTATGTGGCGTCGCCTGCCTCTTATCCTGGCAGGGAGAGTGGGCACCGCGCAGAATCAAACCCCGTACCTCTGGTTTCCTAGATGCGCAGCCCTACACTTTCGGTACCCATGCGATATGTCATGCCAGATCGAGGCGGGGAAGGCTGTTGTAGCATTGACCCATCCAGCGATATTAGGGAACTTTGAGAGATTAAAGGTCATTTAACGTCACATAAGAACCTTCAAAAAGCAAATCTGTCCACAAAGATCATAGGTCGACCAAGCTTGACCTTGGATGACTTCATAGCGCTGCTTAAAAAATGATTTTGGAAAATGAATCGTCATGGTTATATGTGTGTGTGTTTATGTTTACGGGTGTGTCCATATCCATATATATATATATATATATATATATATATATATATATATAAACCACGAGGTGTCATTGGCTTTCGGCTGTTACTCCGGCGATACGGTGGAGGAGTCCCCTGGTCGATCAAGCCTTTATTGTTATACATGTCATGTCACATTGTTCCCCTTCCTAACGCCACACATTGAAATTTTGACTTCAGTGACGTCTCTCTAACGGTAAGGGAAGAAAAAGAGAGAGGCATCGGAAGTGTTACCCGTTTTATAAGGCCTTGAACGTGTGTTTGATTCACGTGTTGGGGCGGGGAAGAGAGCGAGGTTCGTGCGTGGGTGTCGTACTTGGGCGAGTGCCGCATGTACACTGTTTAAGTGTGAGGAGAGTAACATACGGAGGGAACATTGGAGCACGGTTACCTGGGGAATGTTGTGAGGAATTGTCTGAAGCGTCAATAGGTAAGTTGGGATGCTAGATGTAAAAGGCATTGTCAAGCTTGCAGACTTGTCTGCAAGGTTATATACTTTTCACTGGGATGGGGTTTTTGCAGTGTTCCCGCTGTGCTAGTCACCAGCAAAATTATGCTGTGTTCAAGACATAGAACATTTTTGTATTGTCTGCAGGCACTGCTAGGAATGTTTGCTGTATAGTTAGGATTTATTGCGGTGAATCAGCTTCAAATCTTAATTTGAGAAATGAATGTGCTAGATTTAGAAGGCTTTTTAGGTTTCTGATGAAATTGATATTTTATTAAATTTGTGAAACTTATGAAGCTCTCAAACCCGAGGAAGTTCCTTGCTGGCTCTCATTTGTCCCATTGTTTGCTTTACACCTCTAGAGGACTTACAGAACAAACTGATGTTTCTTTTGGGTGCATTACACTTGAAGTAATGTAACCAGGGGGAATGTTCAACCAAGCACAATCATTGTGTAGCTAGGCAGATGGGTGGAATTGAAAAATAGTTCAAAATACATGAATTCATAGATGGTTGGTCCTGTGCAAAGGAGGACCCTATCACGTGTACTCATTGACCACTGAAAGGCCTCACTTCCTCTAATGGTGTTTTTACATACTCTGCTGTGCAATTTGCAGTCTTGATCCTTGTAATCCAGTTGAGTTTTGTTTGATAAGTAGTTAATTTTTGGTGATTATTTAACAGTGTTTTGTGTGATCTAGACCCCATTGGAATGAGAAGATGGGGACCTGGTAAGAGAAGCAAGATATAAGACCTAGCTCATTGTATTGCAGGGTAGTAGCAAAAGCAAGTCGTTGACTTATATTGTAGTGAGATAATACAAATGTCAGTATAACAGTAAGCTGGAGCTTGGGGAATTATCTTTTGGTAGGAGAGTAGGGTGAGGTAATCCATCTCATGGAATATTCTTTAGCACACTTGAGGCTTCACAGTGACCCTTGTGAAGAGACTGAGTGGTGTCATTCTTTTAATTTAATGTGGTTGGATGCCATTTGCTCAGGTGACAGGTCGATTTGACCCCACTGAAACATTACAAACTAAGACCTGGAGACTCCAAATTTACAGGGTGTGTTGGCCTGTATGCAAACTTCCTTGTGCCAACTGTTGAGGCCGCCAGGTCATGACCTGTAGGCCAAATAAGGTTAGACAGGGTCAGACCTCAGGTTGGTGTCCATAATGGTTGCATCACCTTCTCATGCAACCACCATGGATTCAGAAATCATTCAGGAAAACTTTTTTTTGGGGGGGGGGGTGAATTGATGTCCCCACTAAGCACACTTCAGTCCTCATACAAACTTGTCTATTTGGCAAAGTGGAAAAATTAGCAATCAGGCTTATGACATGATTATTGATAGTCCTCCTGCATGTATACTATTTTACATCAAAACATGATAGTCTTCAACATCAAGCTACACAGAGTTTCTTAGCTAGACATGAGGCATGCTTTGATGGTCAGTGACACCATTCATGTTGTGCATCCATTCAGCCATGGTGGGTCCTTAAGATTCCAGGGGCTCTCCAGAAGGTCACATCAATCTTGTGGCTCAAGTCAGAGACTGAAGCCTTCTAGTGAATTCCTTTACTGTGGCTTGCATCTTCACAGCATTCTGGATCCTGTGAATTCTAAGGATGAATTTATTATTGTTGGTACCCTGTTTTAAGGCTCTCCGGCTACCTTTGGTGCGCAGGGTCTTCTGACACCCAAAGCATTGAGCTGTCTTAAGGCCTGCTAACTATCTTTGGCACTTTCACAGCTGTGTGTAGTAAGTAACTTACTGCATTTCCTCTTTCCCTCCTGGTCAGTTATCAGGCCCCCAGTTGAGGTCACAGGTTTCCCAGCCTCAGCAGGTCAGGGCCTGATCTTGTCTGAATCCCTGCCTGCCTGGGGCTAATAACCATGCTGATGTGTGGAAGGTTGCCTAAAAATCATTTGTGATGCTCAGATGTTTTAACTCAGTAATGTGACTTTTTCTCCCCTGCCCCAGTGGAAATGGACAGTCATTGCTAGGTATACTTAGGCAACCCTAGTTTTTGGTAAATGGTTCTGAGACAGAGACAGAGACTGAGATGGAGACAGCAAGAGCAAGAGAGAGCGAGAGAGAAACGGTTCATTGAGATAAGCATGGCTTCGAGTATCAACTCATATAGCAATGTGCACAACACGCATGTGAAGTAGGATACTACTTAGCTGATAATACATGTGTTTATAAGAGTGGTTATATGGGGAATGCTTGATTTGCATAGTCGCATACCGCAGCAAAACGTTTGGAGTGTTTTGCGCTCCTGGTATTTCTGCCGGAGATCGCCACTCGCTGCCTCGGAAGCAGATCTCTATGGATGGGAGACGATTGCATTTATTTTCCTAACCTTAGGCATAGCTTTTCTCTTCTGTCAGCGAGGGTTTCCATGCCCAAGCGTTGCAAGATGTGCGCGAGTACTTTTCCGAATGACCAAAGATGATTTTCAAGGCTCTTTTCTGCACTTTCTCAAGGTGTTGCGCCTGCTTGGCAGTGAGTCCCGCATGAAAAACCGGTGCACGATATTCTAGCAATGACCGGATGAAGTAACATACACACAAACAAGCTGTTCCTGTGATGGATGGTACTTCTTCATTATGTAGAGCGCATATAGAGCTTTCGATGCTTTGGTTACAAAATCATCCACGTGTTTGCCATGACATGTCATCAGCAGCGGCATCATTAACCATAGCTAGGAAAGCAACCGTGCCAACTAAGGTGCCTTGTGGAGTGCCGCATGCTATCGTTCTCCAACGACTCATTGCTCCATCTGGCATCTTGACCCGCTGCTGTCAGTCCTCTGAGAATGAGCAAAGCCACTTTGCATACCTGGAGCAAGTCGTATTCCAAGCATGTTCTGGATAACTGTTGTGTAATCGATGATGTCAAATCCCTTCTTAAAATCGTGCATAACCATAGAAAATAATTTGTCTGTTTCGTCTAACTCCGTCAGCAAATCATGCAACAACCTAATTAAATAGTGTGACGTTGAGGCATCTTTCATATCTCCGTATTGACACTTATCTATGCCTGGTTTTATATCCGCCAGAATTTGCGGAACAATATTTTTTCCAAAACTTTGCTTAAAGTCGGTGTGAGGCTTAGCGGTCTCAGATCTCCTGGCAACTTGGGCGATGTTTCCTTTGGCACAGGGGTGATTGTTGCTCTCTTCCACACCAATGGCACGCACCCTTCATGCAATGACCGGTTGAAAATATGAGTAAGTGGTACGGCCAGTTCCACAGAAAACTCCTTTGGTAGCCGCACTGGAAGTTGTCCAGTGGGCACGGCCATATTTTCTCTCAACTGCGATAGTTGAAAGGCAACTTGCCACGACTGTATCTCAGCAGGAATGTTATTGGCGGGCAGATAGCAGAGAAGCTCTTCTGTGCGCAGCGGTCCATACGTTGTGCATATTTCTGCTAAAAACTGATTTACTAATTTCGCTTTTGATTTGTCGGCATTGGCTCCCGCAAGATCAAGGCTCCATGGTTTTGGTTTTCCGTTGGTTAAGGTGGCCACTTGTCTGTACCAACACTCTTCGGTCAAAAGCAATTATTTGTATTCGCCTCCTGTATCATGCCGTTTTTGCAGCTGTAATTTCTAGGCATATTTTGGCTCTAAGTTTTTGTAGTCTGTACATTTGATGACGACTGTGCGCCCTATTGCGGATGTTTATCAGTTCTTTGAGGCGCTTTGTCTTCCACTGTGGCTCACTTGTCTTGCATTTGTATTCAATTTCACGGATGTGCTCCTCAAACATTTTGCGGTAGCAGTTCTAGTCGAGCATTTCCATTTCATCCATTTCAAGCGCCTGATTCACACTCTGGTGTCAAATAAGTGTGGTCCCACACCTGCACAGCCCGCGGGACGATCAAATTGCAGGTTTTCTCACAATTTCCGCACATGTTTTCGGTTATAACACTGCATCCCACCGTGAGGTTCCTTGGAAACAACGTCCCAGTGGGGTTTTATGGTAATGCAACTCAAGAGGTGATAATTTTTAAAATTAACTAAAAAAGGTAGTTTAAATCTTGAAGAAGAAAAGCGTGTCTTACTTTTCTTGTGCAAGATTTCAATGTGTTGTACAGCATGTGCTAACTATTTTGAAAAATATATACCTAAATTACTATAATATTTCCCTAATTCTATAATGCCTTGCTAACCCATAAACCCGTGCAAAGTTCTTTGCTCCGGTGCACAATGCGCCAACCGAGCTGTCTGTAAGAGATGCGCCAGTAGAAAAAAGCTAACGGGAGCAAAAAGACAGATTGGCTGCTGCGTCTTCTTTTTTATAACATTGGGGAGAGTGCCGTTTTTGTGTGCCGTACTTTTTCCAGACAGTGGCGCTCTTTTTTACAACATTTACCGATGGCCTAGAAATATGGAAAAATTATCCGTTGACAATGAGTGTCGCACAACGCGAAAGTGCTCACGCATGCCTTTGCGACACGCGTTCAGCAGCGAAATCTTACCAAAAGCCAATCACCTTCCGCGGATTGTATCATGCTTGCATCATCTTCGCTTTTGCGAATGTATCAGCGGCCATGCTGCTTTGACCATTAGCGGACAACAGCCTGCAATATAACGGGGATCGTATGACGTTTCTATTACGACATCATTACCAAGGTTACGGAAGTAATCTCCCAATAAACATTTTCCCACTTTTGCGGGCGTGTAACCCACGAACCAGAGGGTTTTGGGTCTTAAAAAGGGCACGACCATGAACTGCATCGAAAGGTCTTCAAGATGGCAACTTCAGTTCAAAATCCCATGCAAAGGTGGGGCACTCCCTTTAAGAACAAGACAAGTACTTCACGCTGTTAAACCAGCTGACTGAATTTAGCAAATGGCATTTGTAGTTGTGAACATACACCATTTACAGTACCCTATTTTCCCGTTAATTTACATGGTTTGGCCAGCAATGCCCAACATACATGATAGGTCACTTTTTAGGGGATCAAATCAGGAATGTTGCCTTTAGATATCTAATCGGATGTCCTGATTTAAAGAAAGATCATCAGGTTTTGCTTCATTAAATCTCAAGGAATGCTCCAGACATACCGCCCACGGTCAAAGGGTGCTTATGTTTTCTTCAGGGCATGGGAATATCTCGATTTTGCCCACATGGGCCATGGGGGGGAGGGAGGCATGGACCAGTTCCCGTTGGATCCTGCTGTGTAACTTTTGTGCATGTTGGTAGTTGAACCGAACGCTCTGTAAACTTGATTTCCGAATATATTGTCATTCATGGCCGTGGAGATATGGACTATGGATTGACGGGCGCGGGCCCGCGCGGGCGATGGTGATACGGACCGGCGGGGAATCTTGGCTGCCGCTACTTCGCGAGAATCACGGCTCATTGTCCAGTGTGACTGCTCATTACGCGTGCGTTTACTCCAGGCCCACCTCAAGCACGCCCACTGGAGAGGAAGAGCCCCTCCAGCGTCGTGAAATCCCCCTTCCCCATGGAGTGAAATCCCCCCCCCCCCCCCGACAGTGGAACGAGTCTTCATTGAGATAGTCACCTGTGTATAACATCATTTAAGGCTATTTTCTGTGGGCAAGCAATTCAGCCCAATGGATATTCCTCAATGGAGGCCTTGGTTCACTGGCTCTAATGATCGAATCATTTCGGCGATGATGTTACACGTGCTGGGATGTCGTAGATTAATATAGTGGTACTTATTTTGCTCATATTTTTCATCAAATTAGACCTGACATCCTCCGTTCCAAATGTAGTTAGAACTAGCAAAGGCTGTGCCAGCCATGATAAATGCTGTGAACCTTTGTCAAATTTTGGCATGCATTACGATTGATGTAAAAGGTCAGCATTTACAAAAATCGTGATCGAAGCTCAAGAATATGTAGATTAAATGCATGCAATGATGTCATATGTCATGCAAGAACTATTGCGCGGACACGGCGCACTAGGATTCTGCTTTCCCAGAACAGGTTTGAGTATTGCCCCCCCCCCCCGTGCATTTATTGCGAGGTCTCCGTTACGACCCAGCGTAAATAAATGCATACATATTGCACTGATATACTATAATGATAACAACAATAACACCGGAAAATGGGTATGACTTGTTACCGGGAAGTTTAATGCCGGACCGTAACAAAGTGTTGCATGGGTTTGGGGGATCAATCATACAAAACGTCACATAATTTATTGACGGCCCGTTACCAGCATCGTGTGACATAATGACGATTCTATAATGCCGTGTATCCAGTGCGATCAGTGTCGTTGAATACCAGCACCTAATCCCGTCAAGCTTCGTGGCATGCCCTCCTGTGATGAAGCACAGCACCTGATTTTGGCGTGCTGTCGGTGGGCCGGCCCCGAAGCAGGCCAGCCCGGCGGTGGCCTCCTGCGATGCTGGTCAGCCGCGACCGGCGCGGACGCCGACACCGGGTGGCGCTCGTCTGTGGCGGCCGCGGCCGGCGCGGGCCGCCGGCCCAACCGGTGGCGCCCGCCTGACATGTGTGTTTGTGCCGGCCGGCAGTGGGCGGTCGCCGGGTGGCAGCGGCCGAGCCGCGCCTGGCCGGCCCCATCAGTCGGCGCGTGACGGCCGTGGAGTGTGTGGGCGCGAGGCGGGGCACCGGAGACGCGCCGGACCATGCGGGGCGGCCGCGCTCCAGCCGAGAGCCTGCTGCTGCTGACGCTCATCAGCGGAGGTAGGTGCTGCCGGCAGCGGGATAGTCCCGGATCGCGCTTCCTCTACACAGGACTGCCATGTGCGGCACACGCTCTCGATTGCTGTCTTTGTTACCAGGCTGGTGTCATTGCGCTCGCTGTGGTGGATGATCCGCTCCACTGATGGTGGCGTATCTACCCATGTGCCCCAGTATCGAGGTCGGAATGGGGGCTGGGGGTCACGTCCAGGATCCCGCGGTGTCACTGACGCGGCCGTATGTAAAACATGTCAAGCTTACCTGCCGCCGACGAGCGGCCGGCGGGCACCAGACCATCCCCAGCGGACGTCGGACGCCAGACCGTCCCTAGCGAACGTCGGACGCCACACCATCCCCAGCGGACGTCGGACACCAGAGCGTCCCCAGCGGACGTCGGACGCCAGACCATCCCCAGCGGCCGGCGGGCGCCAGACCATCCCCAGCGGACGTCGGACGCCAGACCCTCCCCAGCGGACGTCGGACGCCACGCCATCCCCAGCGGACGTCGGACGCCAGACCATCCTCAGCGCACGTGGCACGCCAGAGCGTCCCCAGCGAACGTGGGACGCCACAACATCCCCAGCGGACGTCGGACACCAGAGCGTCCCCAGCGACCGGCGGGCACCAGACCATCCCCAGCGGCCGGCGGGCGCCAGGCCGTCCTCAGCAGACGTCAGAACAGCATTGCCCGTCGCGCTGTCCCGGCTGCACGTGCGGCAGCTGCGACCGCGTGCCGGCCCGGCCGGAGAGCACATCGACCCGTCAGCGCGCCAGGTCACGCAGACTCGGTCGGAGAGCACATCGACCCGTCAGCGCGCCAAGTCACGCACACTCGGTCTTGCGCGTGGCGTAATGTCGGCTGCGCGCGGCTGAGGTTTTTTCGGAGCTCATTTCCGCCATTATCTCCTGCACCTGATCACTATCTAACGAACTTCTTCCCGCGGAGGCCGTGCGGCGGCAGGGACTGCCCGAGGCTCCCCCGATTTCGATATGATGGTATTCAGTCTATGAAGCGAATGTCTCCAATGCCAAAAATAAGGACCTGGCGGCGGAGGGAGCGCGTCATTATACCGGAGATGGGATATAGAGCGCCACCTCCGCGTGCAGGAGGCAATTGGTCGTTTCTAGTGCGGTGCGCAGGACTGTACAGCGCAGGCCGGCATTCATTGGTCATTTCCTGGCTCATGATCGTGTCATGCTCTGTATGCAGACTGAAAACTGTGTGACCGCCTGGAACGGATGTAGAATGAAAGAGGAGGGATGGGGGATAGGGACGTGGTAGCTCGCGCCGAGAAAGGAGGAGGGGGGGGGGGGGGGGGGGCTGAATACCATGTATTGCGGTTGAGCTCGCTGGAACAAGGTGGGAGTACGTGCGCGTGACCAGTGTCGTGGACGCGGCACTCCTGCGCTTCTTAGACATCTCACGCACGGGCCGTGTCACTGGGGTGACCGGACGGGGCTGCCAGGCGGGGCCTCCCCGCCCAGACTTGTGCTCTGTGGTCACCACAGCGGTGTGTCCTCCACTACGGCTGTCGGGACCAGTCCGGGGAATACAAACACCAGAGAGCATTCGATCCGTGGTGTGAAAGTGTGGAAACGTATGTCTGTTATCCCTTATTGTGTATATCTGCCTGTTGATCAACTTATCTGTCTATCCGTCTCCCATCGCCGCGCGCGCGCTTGTGGAGCTTGGCGCGGCGGAGGGCACCGACGGTCCTGACGGCAGCGTCCGCTCCATTCCAGGACTGGTCAGCTCTGCCGCAGCGGGCGACGGGCCGTGCAATCTGGCGGGTGAGTGACCGGCACGGTGTGCGGTCGCGGCTGGGGTGGTCTGCTCTGACCCACGTCTTGCTGGGGTGGTCTGCTCTCACCTGTGTCTGGCGGGGGTGGTCGGCTCTCACCTACGTCTTGCTGGGGTGGTCTGCTCTCACCCACGTCTGGCGGGGGGTGTTCTGCTCTCGCCTGTGTCTGGCTGGAGTGGTCTGCTCTCACCCACGTCTGGCTGGAGTGATCCGCTCTCACCCACATCTGGCTGGAGTGATCTGCTCTCACCCACATCTGGCTGGAGTGTTCTGCTCTCACCCACATCTGGCTGGAGTGTTCTGCTCTCTGAAACATATCGCCCCAGTCAGACTCACGTCTGGCTGGAGTGATCCGCTCTCACCCACATCTGGCTGGAGTGTTCTGCTCTCTGAAACATATCGCCCCAGTCAGACTCACGTCTGGCTGGGGTGGTCTGCTCTCACCCACGTCTGGCTGGAGTGTTCTGCTCTCTGAAACATATCACCCCAGTCAGACTCACGTCTGGCTGGGGTGATATGTTTTCACCCACGTTTGGCTGGGGCAATCTGTTTGCACCCAAGTCTGGCTGGACTGCCTCACCGGCTCCCAGCCCCAGTGGTGTGGACCGCTATTTCATCGTACCATGCCAGTCGGGAGGTTTTAGTGTTGCCGCTCAGACAGCTAGTACGGAGAAAAGAATAGAAAAGAAGATTTGTCCGGATTGCGGGGCCTCATCAGTGGACAGAATGGGGATGTGGTTGAACTTGTGCAGCTAGCTCACACTTGGTCTTGATGCCCTGTTTTGATCAGCCGCGGCTTCAGTGCTTTGGAAGCCTGGTTGTGGGAGGTTGGGTACGAGAAGAGCCGACCCTGTGTCCCGCCCTCCGATGATATGCAATCTTTTTCCAACAAGGTGGGCGCGAAAAGCTTCTTCATGGTATGCATTGCATATTTCTGTGACGTGGCATAAACACGTAACATGGCGTAAAAGTTTGCATTTAGTTTTTATTTATGACCCTGTTTTAGGAAGACAGGTCGGGGGCGTAATGGCCGAGTGGTGCGCCGGAATGGCACGCGGGAAGCCCGGGCTGGAATCCCGGTGGCGCCGTGGTTCCTGAGTGCCAGCATGGCCAATGCAGTCGCTGGTGCTCCATAAAAGGGAAGGGACGACGCAGGAAGACAAGTTCACCAAGCTGTTGGTTTCGTATCCACCAGTTACCGATTGTGGTCAGGTTCACTGCCGGAAATTGTCGAAAAGGAGCTTAATTTTTATCGCAAGAGCAATTTATAATGTGCTCCAAATAATCTGTGTATCATTTGTGTTTGCTTAACCGGTGTTTCATAACAACAGCAATCGGCTTTTCCGACCAGTCTTAATCGTTTCCGGCTAAAATAAATGCATCTAAAACTGACAACAATCGAGGGCCACGTCATCATTTTGTTTCATGGTGACTGCGTGCAAAAGTCAGCCAATCCCGTGGCCTGCTGCAAATTGCGGAGTATGTGCTGCCTTATCGCGCGCCCGGGTGATCGGTTGAATACCCTTCGCTCGGGTGGGGTGGGGGTGGGTCATTTTGCCCCCGGAGGTCTCAAAAACCAAGAGAACTAGAGACGCCTAATCCACAGGGTGTCCAAAGTGCTCCCAGAACCCAGATACCTGTACTAAGCAAAAGGTCACTGGCGCTCGTGTAAGTCCAGTGCCTTGTTTGACCTTTGACGAATCATGGTGATCCAAATCATGCAATCATGGTGATCCAAATCATGCAAGACTGCTGTGAGTTTTGCATTTAGATGCGCGTCGAAGGTTACGCTGGTAGCATGCTCCCAAAAGCAGCATGTTAATCTGTGTCTTTTTAGGTTAATTTAGGTGCTCTTCTGACGTGTGTTAAGTCCATAGAAGAAATACAATAGGGTTCCTGTTATCAATAAATTTGAAATGAGCACCAAAAACTACCACACATAGCAAGGTCTAGGGTGATATGGCAGGTTGGTTTTGACCTTGGTCTGACATTTATACATGACCTTAGGTCAATGGGATTTGTTCATTTAATTGTTGTGTTCTCTAAGAAACTATCTCAGAGATGTATGGTTTCGCCGAACACACCGTCGTCGCATCAGATTGAACGATTCCCTACAAATTGTCTTAACTGAATCCTTGGCCTGACTGTGACCTGCCGTAGGTCAGCGACCTTACAAGGTACATCTAGAGTTGTGATACCAAACGATTTGGCACTCAATATTCCACACCTATCAACATTTGGCGTGGTTACGTCGCGCCGTTCGGAAACCATTCCGGAAAAACCTCTGGGGCGACGGGGGGGGGGGGGGGAATCAAATTGCCCTCCCCCACGGGAGCGTGTGCTAAGCAATCTGCTGACATGTTTGGGCAAACTGAAGTTTTGTTAGCGTTCAGGGGCGGGTTTGATCCCGGAGATGCAGCAGCCGGTCGTGCGATAGTACTGGGCGTCCATTTGTGGCAACGGGATATCTATCTTGCTTGCCTTGCTGTTTTAGCACAAATAACACATCATATGAAGTAGGTGTGAAGTGTGTGTGATCAAAAATTGGTCTGCCCGGGCGTCAAGTTGGCATCAGGTGGTGTGCTGTGTCTGATGCTTGGGAGAATGCATAACAAGCGATATTGGCCTCGCAAGGTGCCGTTGTCGGTGCTAGTGTGACGAATCGACATAATCTTAATATATATATATATATATATATATATATATACATAACTAAGCTCATATTTCCTCTCAGTGGACTACGAATGTATTCAATAGTACAGCGGCACAAGAACAAATTAGCCGCCCCCTCCCTCGACGGCGCTGGCACCCTTGCTATGTACATTTTAACTCTCTCCTTGATTTGCCGTTTTTTATGACACGGAACGGATCGATGGGGAGCGTAAGTCGGTACTCCATCTACCGTTTCAAGACTAAGACAGACAGAACCGCGCGGAAAAATACAACAATGGATTGGTCTCAACATCTCGCGATTTGTAAGGACTTATGTTGGAGATCAATAATTGACCCCACTAGGACAAGTCAAAGGCGTTTTTCTTGAAATGACAACTATTTCACCTTTATGCACTTTTTTGATGAAATCATGCCGCGTAGAAACATGCAGCTATAACAAACGCATTCCTTGTTTAATTGTTAGCACAGTGATATGTAGTTTGGTGTCTTCTGAGGATACATGTGTGATGTGGGGCCTGGTTAATGTAACGGTGTCGTACCGGAGGCGGCGCAGTGGCCGAGCGTTGGGCGCGTCGGACGTGCAGTGGTTACCGGTGGAGCGATGTCAGTGGTCACGTCTCCCGCGTGAGGGGCCCGGAGTGTTGGGCGCGTCGGACGTGCAGTGGTTACCGGTGGAGCGATGGATAAGTCAGTGGTCACGTCTCCCGCGTGAGGGGCCCGGAGTGTTGGGCGCGTCGGACGTGCAGTGGTTACCGGTGGAGCGATGGATAAGTCAGTGGTCACGTCTCCCGCGTGAGGGGCCCGGAGTGTTGGGCGCGTCGGACGTGCAGTGGTTACCGGCGGAGCGATGGATAAGTCAGTGGTCACGTCTCCCGCGTGAGGGGCCCGGGTCGACTCTCGGTTGCGCCATGGCTCAGGGGCCCTGGTTTGGCGTTACATACTGGGGCGTAACGATGTGCGTCGCATTCCCTCCCCCCCCCCAAAAAAAAACTGCATCTGCGGGCCGCGGGCGATCAGCGGATTTGTCGGCTCCCCCGGACGCTCGCGCCGACCATGGATCGCCGCGCAGTGGTCCTGTGTGGTCACTACTTCTCAGAAATAAGAACTGCCAGGGCTACGTTTTTGTGTGTCAAAACACGCGCAATGAATGCCCCAGAGTAAACCAAAAGTTTAGACGTCATTACACGTTGTGCCGGAGAGATATCATCATAAAATCTTACGGGATTGAATATCCGGCCTTATCAGGGCGGGGATTGAATAACACTTGCAACATGTTATGAGCATCCTGAAATTGTAAATCTGAAAGCGATTCGGGGCTGCTGGTGGGCCAGAGACGTGCAGATACCCGACTTTCCCGTCACCGCTTCATGATATTTAGAGATCATAACGGTGACCCGATTTATCCCCCCCCCCCCTCCCCCCACCGCCTGTGGTCTCCCGCTGCACGCGACCGAGCAATGGCTTAGGGACCTTAGAGGAGCAATGCAATGAGCAATGTCGATCGGCAGTCTTGCTATGTATTATCCCAACATAGAACGGCCATTGTCATCCTCGTGGCATGTCACGGGATATGTCGGAGTGGAAGCTGACGGCACAAAAACAGCAAGGAAACGAGGGGCACCGGACCGAATGCAAAATCCTAGCTTGAATTACAAAACTAAACTGGAGCGTAGGCACTTCGGTTATGGTTTACCTCAATAATAGGGAATCAAGAATGAGCCATGGCAAAATGCACTATCCAGCACGTAAAGTGCGACCTACCTGGGGAGAAACATTGGAGGAATGTGCGGTCTTGACTGAGGCATGAGTCAGCTAGCGACGCCCAGCATACCATTCGCCGAGATATCGGGAAAGTGCGAGACGCTCACGAACATTTGTGTCATCTACGGCGGCACGTCCGCGTGGTCCGCGTTCTACACGCTCTGGCTGACGCTGCCGTTCATCCAGTGACCGGAACGGATACAGAGAGATCCTGTTTGGTCAGCCCGTGTGCTATGCTGAATGCTCAATATTTTGGTATGAGCTCTGTAGGAAGTGAGATGGAGAGCGATGCTGTTTTGGGCATACTTGTAGTTGTCACGCCTGCGTGCTTATTGGCCGTTAAACGGCTTACCTGTCGAACGAGGTTCACACCGTCGCGCTGGCTTTGAAAGGCCGCCACCAACAGTCTTCACGGGTTTTCCAGTCGTACGCGAATAGTGGAAAAGCCTTTCTCCATAAGCGGTGAGGCCGTATTGGGACTTGGCCTGACACGGGCAGCTGACGCAGGGTGGGGCCAGAGCTGAGCCGTCTGGCGGGACCGCGGCGGCACGGAGCCCGGCCAGCCAGCTCATTCCGCAAGCGCGCGCGCGGCTGGTGACGACTGCTTCTCTGTGACGTCATACCGGGATCCTGCACACAAGGCAGCGAAGCTCCAGGATCTAGAAGTGCTCACATACGTGTGGACCTTGCCTTTCATAGAAAGATCAAAGGGAACCTTTGTTCGCCGTGCCAAGGCACCGAGCGCACGTATGCCAGACGAGCAGCCGAACTGAGCACAAACACGGACTCCCTGGCGATATTGACGTCCTGGCCTTCACTTCACACCGACGATCACATCACGTTTGTGGACGAGCATCCTCATCCCTTTCATCGAGGGGAGGTCGGTACATTGCAGCCAAGAACACACCTGCCCATGCGTGTGCCGGGTAACTTAAGCTGTGTTGCATCAAACTTTCGCTCTTTTCATAAATGCTTAACGACACTCCGGTGTCTGGTGCCCGTCTTAAAGACACTCCGAAGGTGTCTGGTGCCTATCTTAACGACACTCCGAAGGTGTCTGGTGCCCGTCTTAACGACGCTCCGAAGGTGTCTGGTGCCCGTCTTAACGACACTCCGAAGGTGTCTGGTTCCCGTCTCTGCCCGGGAGCTGTAGAATTGTCGCAAGCTCTGCCCCGAGCGACGTGAGTTCTGGCTTAGTGACGCTGACGGGTGGAGGCGTTTTCGGGGGTGAATCGGGAGCCATGTCAAGTCTGGAGATCACAAGGCGCTGCAGCATCACCTCGGAATGGCGACAAAAACAGCAGGCGAGAAATGTATGCTGAAACGACTCCCAGATGAATCGGAGCGGTGCGGCATCCGACTGGGCCGATCTGAGGGCCGTACCCGCTGTGCGGGGGCGGATGCGTGCCGCCGCCGGCCGCCTCTTTGTCCGCCCCGACGCGGTCAGCTGGCGGCCGGCTGTTGCGCGACGCCCCAGACGGTTTTTGTGACTGTTTGCGACTGATCAGGACATCCGCGGCGCAAGCAGAGAACCACCCCGGATGCTGACGAGAGGCTGCGCCTTCGGGGGGGAGGGGGCTCAGACACTGCAGCAGGGGCGTCCAATGCAAAGAGACAGCTTAAACGCACTAATCTCGAGTATGTGCGTCCTCCCTCGGTCTCACGCGGGCTGTGAGAGGGCAATGGCATGAGAGACCCTCTGCGCTCTGTCTGCCCTCGTTCCTCTTTCCCTCTGCCACGGTGCCCTTTTGTGAAAGTGTAACTCATTGGTGATGCATGGAAGTGCCTGAGTTGAAAATTGAAATTAAGTTTGCCTTCTTCACTTTTGGTGACGGTTGTACGGCGCTGCTGCAAGTCTGCGACTGTCCGGGTACACGAGAGCGTAGAACTTCGGAGTGGTGCCTCCATCCCCTGACTGTGTTCACTTTGGGGCTGAGTCCTGCAGACACTCTGACTGTAGGTAGCAGGTCACCTGAGCCCTAGACACTGGGACTCTGGGCGGCTGGGCGAAGTGTGGGGCCCTGACCCACCCTGCGGCCGCTGGTGGCGGCGCGGCCCAGATCCCCGGTATGCGGCCCACTGGCGGCGGCGCGGCCCAGATCCCCGGTATGCGGCCCACTGGTAGTGGCGCGGCCCAGATCCTCAGTATGCGGCCCACTGGTAGTGGCGCGGCCCAGATCCTCAGTATGCGGCCCACTGGCGGCGGCGCGGCCCAGATCCCCGGTATGCGGCCCACTGGTAGTGGCGCGGCCCAGATCCTCAGTATGCGGCCCACTGGCGGCGGGCCGTGGCCCGTGCGCCCGCCGGTGCGTGGGTCCCCGCTCCGGCGGCTCTGTCGCTGTATGGGCCTGTCAGCGGTCGACGGCAGCGCTCCTCGTCACATCAGCCGATGATGCCCGGCAGCTGCTGGCCTGCAGCAGGTCTGCCAGGCGGCCTCCGGGGGTCGGGACGGGGCAGACCCCAACGCTCCCATGCTGCATGCGCCTGGTGTGGTGTGTGCTCTGTACAGCAGGGGTTTTGCGACGCCCTTTTCCCCTGATTGGTGACGTTTGGAGCGTGCTAGGGCAGTTGTGGGCTGTTTATCTCAGATTGTTTGGTCTGAAGCGCGGCCCTGGCCCGCCCCGCTTGATCGCTAGGCGGATGGCATCCCAGGAATTTTATCAGCCGCTCTGCCTTTTGCATGCTGTTTATAGCCACTGGGGAGGTGCGCATGTAATTTGCACACAACATTCGGGTTGCACGTTTGGTGGTGGTCGATGATCACAGCATGATTTGGCGTCCATTCAAATGTAGTTGGCCGACATAGGTGGTATGTGATGGCAGCGCATACCATACACATTCGTGCTGATCAGTAAGCACAAAGACCGTGGAGTTGTCCGTGATGTCTTCTGCTTCGAAAACTTACCTTATAAAACGGCCATTAAGTGGATGCCTTGCTATAAAACAAGGAAGCATTTGTCTACTAACTCGTGCCATGCATTTCCCTCGCATTACGAGCTGCATGCCAGCTTCGTTTGCCTGCATAAATTTGAGATCCCGTGCCGGAGCAGTCTCAGACCGACCCAACATTCCTAAGGATCCTGCGCGTCTGCCGTGCATCATTCGTAAAGTTAACTAGAATATCTGCCATCCGGCTCCCAGCGAATGGCCGACATTGACCGCTTGGGCTGATTCTTCCTGGCCTCGTAGAAAATGTATACTCTCGATCCTTACAGTGGTCATATCCGTGAATTTTGATCTTTTGCATGCCTTGACTGGATGCAGTTTGCTGCACCATGATGTGGGAATAAAGGGAAGCGGGACATTGACGCTCTGTCGAAAACACACGAAGACGAAAGAATAGAGGTCACGATGTTTGGATCTTTCTGTGTTTGATGACGGCTTCCCCTGCCAGGCGGCCCCTGACGGGACTGAGCTGGCCGGTATTTCGGTGCAAGAGCCTTTCGCTGGCGTGTTTTATGCTGAAATGGTATTCGTAGGAAATTCACGAGAAATGCGCAATGTTTTTATGATGCAGCCGGTTTCGGTGCACCTTTGGGGACCGGTTGTCATAAAGCAGGTATGTTAGACACCGTGCGTATCATGCCGACGACATCTGGTCACGAAGGAGGTAAGCCCATTTCCTGGTGCAGCTTACTAGAGTTCTCCAAATTCCCGCCAGCACTGCTCCTCTCAGCGATATTATCGCTGGGTTCTCGTGCTCTGCCGCGTCCGGGCAGGTAGGCCGGTCCAGGCCGCCTGCGAGCGGCAGGGTCCAAAAAAGGCTCTGCGCACGGTGACACGCGCGGCCGGCAGCGCGCCGCTGGCAGCGCTGCCGCGCTATTGTGGCGGCGGAGCGGCGGCGTGCTCCTGACCGGCTGGCGTCCTGGCCGGAGCCGACCGCTACCGCCACTGCCGCCGCCATCGCCGGCCGACGCAACGCATGCAGCGGCCGGACGATAATGTGGTGCACCCTGGCCCGCAGACGAGTACCTGGACCCGGCCAACAACTACCAGTATGTGTACAATGGGACGGTGGAGTTGCTGCACTCGGTCGCTGGCCATACCTCGGCGGCCGGCTTCTCTTTCACGTGCGTGGTCGTCATCAACGGCGAGCAGCCCTGTTACCACTCGCTGCAGGTGAGCCGATGCCGCTGGAGGTGGCGGCGCCGCCCCGCGCGGACGGGACGTCAGAACGAGATTGTGTGTGTGTGTGTGTGTGTGTGTGTGTGTGTGTGTGTGTGTGTGTGTGTGTGTGTGTGTGTGTGTGTGTGTGTGGTGTGTGTGTGTGTGTGTGTGTGTGTGTGTGTGTGTGGTGTGTGTGTGTGTGTGTGCGCGTGCGCGTGCGCGTGCGCGTGCGCGTGCGCGTGCGCGTGCGCGTGCGCGTGCGCGTGCGCGTGCGCGTGCGCGTGCGCGTGCGCGTGCGCGTGCGCGTGCGCGTGCGCGTGCGCGTGCGCGTGCGCGTGCGCGTGTGCGTGTGTGTGTGTGGGCATGGACGGTGAAAGAGGGCGATGGTAGGGGGATAGTCCTTCCTTAGGGATACGGCTTCCGAACCCGGTGAACTTGTGTGCAAGGGCTGACCAACTGAGGCATTCCTTGCCCTTGAACCCACTGCCCGTCGTCACCTGGCGTAGTTTTGCGGACATAAGTCCTCCCAATCCGTACACCGAGGGAGAAGAGCCGGCAGGCACCTTGGTCATGAGGCCGGATGAGGTGTCCGTGTGAGGCTAGTGACGGCCGTATTTCTGCCGTTTCAGCTGTCTATGTGCAGTCTGGATGACCGGACGACACACGCCGACAAGGCGGCGCGCCAGCACAGCTTCAACCGGCTCCTGAAAAGGTGGGTGCTCTCTGCGGACGTAACGGCCGGCAGCGTCGTCTGCGGCCTTTCTGGGCGCTCTCTGCGGACGAAGCGGCCGGCAGCGTCGTCTGTGGCCTTTCTGGGCGCTCTCTGCGGGCGTGGTGGCCGGCAGCGTCGTCTGTGGCCTTTCTGGGCGCTCTCTACGGGCGTAGCGGCCGGCAGCGTCGTCTGTGGCCTTTCTGGGCGCTTTCTGGGACAGTCACATTCTCGTGTTCCTGGTCATGTGATGAACGGTTCTGGGCGCGAAAGACGTATTTGAAAACAGCTAGTGAGACGACTTACGGTAAATGTCTTTTGGTTGTACTCAAATGCGGGCGAAAGTGAAGATGAAAGGACAGCAGTATTGCATTTCCGTCAATTTAATACTTTCAAAATGCTGGTAAGGTACGTATAGATGGACGTATGGAAGCATAGCCCGCGGAAACGAGGTGGGCAAGCGGCAGGGATCCAACGAGTACTGTACAGTATTTCCTGTCGTGAATATCCCGCCGCCATTCAAGGCCATCCAACCAAGCGGAATGTCAGTGACATACCAGGGAATGGCAGAAGTGCGTGGTGTGCCATCGAGCCTGTCAACACAATTGTCTTTCCATTAGTCACGATCTGATTATGATGATTGCCTGTGAGTTGACATCGGGGTAAGCTGAGGGTACGGGTCTGTAGCAACCTCTGTGTAGGAATTTTCGCGTTCACAAGGAGAAACAATCTGGACAAAGAACAAGGACGAAGGTTAGAGTTACAAAGAAGAAGACGGTTCGCTCCGTGCGTCGCCGTCATCATAAGTCATCAGCATCATCATCGAATTGATGATTTTCCATCAAGCTGACGACTGCGAAGCAAATTGGTACACAATCATGAGACCTTGCATAGGCAGAGCTACAGCTGATTCCACAAGTGACGTGGAGAAACTGATGTTTTTGTTTGTTTGTTTGTCGTTGTTTTGTTGCTTACGCCCATTTGAGCTTTTGTACTTGATCCATTTGAGCTTTTTCACTTACGCCCGTTTGATTTTTGATACACAATTCTGATGTGCTGAATATTTTTTATTTTGATTTGATGTTGATTTTCGATTATGGACATTAAGCAGTGCATAATACGAAGAGTGGATTGGCGCAAGGCCGCGCTTGACGGAGGTGTTGAGCCCAGCCGTGCGACGTGCCGGGTTTGTGGCACGGGTCTGGGCCGACCGGCTTGATAGGCGCAGAACAATACACGCCCTGTCCGGCTGGGCGGAATCGCAGGGCAACGGCGGGAATTGTGCGCAAATTTAATATTGTATTAGTAAACTTGCAAAAATCTAGTGATTCCAGCCAGTTTCCGGTCACGCGACAAGCCAGTGGTGGTCGCACTGAAGGACCTGCTTGAATGCCGAAAACGCTTATCAGCCAGCCCGCTAATGCAGACTTATTGCAGTGAGCTAGAATCGCTTTTGAAATAGGGTGGGAGTGAAAAATTTTATCGCAAAAAGACCGTGCGGGAGTGAAAAATTCAGTTCACAAAAGCTGGAAGTTATGAGTCACCATGACATGCTCCAGAAAACAAAGGCATATATTGCGAGTTGGCATGGAAGTAATATCATAAGCGTGACAAAGCTGTTTACTTCTTTAACATCTTGGGCCAATACAGTGAAACATGATGCATTAAAGAATAGTAATGTCATAACACTGTGATGAGCATAAAAAACTGTGTAACATTATGTTTTGATGCTGCACTTTGCACTTATTTCTACATGATTTTTTAACACAAAACAAAGCAAAGGAATTGAACAACAAAGACAACAACAAAGAGTTCAACAAGCATGCATCATTCAAACGAAAAAGTCTCGGATTCCTGCACATCAACACATGACCCAATCAGACACAACAGACATACCTGTGGCTTCTGCCAATATGAGGTCAGGAAATACAAATATTATGTCACTGTTTCTTGCAAAATACCAACGCCTATTTCCATGAAAGTAACCGGACGAAGCCTAACCTAGAGAAGCTTTGCCTCATGTCATCCTGTCTAACCTATTCACAGCAGCATTTGGAGTCACTACCTCCAGTTAAATTCCTACTGCCACTTGCCATGCAACTAATCAAGTTAACCTAATAAAGAGTAGCCTATATGTTGAATATCATCTCGACTCACCTTACCCATTTATTGACACCAACAGATGTGATAAAAACGTGATGAATCTTATTTTTGGCTGCTTTCAACCCATATTTTGGTTCAGTTCACCTATGCCAGCCTGTTAGCACCAGGTCAAGTTGACAACACAAAAATCAAAGCCCCTCAAATCGCTTTGAACATTTTATTCTGGTTGTTATGGTTGGCTCCCATCAAGGACAGTAGTGGGTATGCTCAGGAAACACTTATCATAAGCCACAGATGGTATCAATCAGAAAGGAAGAGAACGTGAAGTATCACATTGGTATGATAAGAAAAACAAAAGTAATTAAATAAAGATAAAGACTGGTAGCTTTTTGGTACGATGTTGTGATTCGCTGATTTGACCAAAATTCTTAGAAAAGAAGTGCTCAAACGGTGATATTCAGCTTGTAAATTTCATTTAGAAGACATTTCCTGATTTTCAGTCCTGGATTTTGGGGGGTGGTGCAGTTTAGTGGCCAAGTTTCTTCGGGTAAAGACATACGTGGAGTAAAACTCCCTATCAGGCTTTGCTGGTGTTTGTACCAGGCTTTGCTTTGGTGGTGTGGTGGTTGCGTGGAGCCACAAAAACAAATTGGAGATTGGTGAAAACCTTGCATAGGACACACAGCTACATAATGTGATGCATTTTGTAAACAAACCAAGCTTGATGCATGCGAGCGGCAGGAGTCGCCGGGGCTCTCGGGCTTGAAGGTACCTGGTGCTCCTCCTCAGTGCAACATAGACATGATCAGATGTAGGTGAGGCAGGATATAGCCAAAAACGTCCAGGTTCTGTGGAGCCTTGTTTATGCTTGATGGTTTGAAGTGAGCTCGGTTTTGGATGACACCTTAAAACCTCGGAAAGGGAAATATGGGTTTGATTATGCGCGGTTAGACAATATCAGGTAGGAGTGAAAAAAATTACGTGAAATATTGGGAAAAGGAGTGAAAAACTAGTCCTCATAGGGTGCTGGACACCTGTTTGACACATCAAGTCGGCAATTTTATGACACTGAGCTGTTGCCACAGCGCTGACCGGCGATCAGGTGACCTGTTGCCACAGCGCTGACCGGCGATCAGGTGACCTGTTGCCACAGCGCTGACCGGCGATCAGGTGACCTGTTGCCACAGCGCTGACCGGCGATCAGGTGAATTGTTGCCACAGCGCTCACCGGCGATCAGGTGACCTGTTGCCACAGCACTTACCGGCGATCAGGCCAGCGTCTGTTCTGAGCTCGCGCCAGCAATGCATCACTGCCGGTCTGTTTCAGTAGGCCGGCGAGCTAGCGAGTGGTTCACGAGACACCTGTCGGCTGGGGTTTGAGACCGTGGGCCGCGGGGCGTTGGCGGGGCGTGTGAGCGGGTGCTGCGGGCGGGTGCGACGTTCCATGCGGAAAACATGCGGTTTATTCGCCGAGCTGAACTTTGCAGTCTGGCACTTGCTCACTTTATTGGAATGCATTGATGCGCGGCCGGCACGCGCCGCGGGCCATCGTTTATATCTCACCAGTGAAACAGCGGGGTCTCGTCTTCAACATGAGCACGGCTTCCTGCCTTTGCAGAGAAGCCCGCCACGGCGTCGTGGACACTGCTACTGCCACAGCTGGCCGGCCTGCAGGCCGTGTTTTGAGCGGGGCGTCGGGAGCGCCCTGTCACAGTGATAAATCACATACATCGCGGCGTCGTCTGCAACGCCGGGCCACGTGGTCTGACCACCGCCACTGGAAGGCGGTCTGGCACCGGACTGAGACAGATCGTGAGGGGGGGGGGGGGTCTGGTGTCACGTGGCCCGGCTCACGTGATGTTGGCGACGGCCATCGATGCGCAAATTAGCGTAAGACCCGATGCTCCCGGCACATTAATATGCATCAGTGGAAGATCTTGCATGGTGTGCTTATCACGCTGCATCGCTGCTGTTCGTTGGTTGCGCAGCGGTGGTTGTGCGTAGGACGTTAAACTGGAAGACGGTATCCAGCTCGCACTCCTCGGCCACGCCTGCCAAGTGTTATTTTTAATCGGTTCCGCTCACACTGAGCAATGTCGTGTTAGCGCACAGGTTGGTCCCCAAGTCAGGTCCCGAACGAATGGCTCGGGCTGAACTCGGAGTCGCTTATCCGCATGGCTGTAAATCACGCCGGCTGGACCAGCGATTGGTTTGATTGATTCTTCAGGGCAAGATGGCAATAAAATTGCTACACGCGTTTTTTTAAAGACGGGCAGCCGGCAGATTTTAGCGGAGAAGTGAACGGCTGGTACTGCACTGCTCAATAACTGGCGAGACCGGATCTTTGGCCTGGCTTCAGTGTGAGCCGCAGTCGAGCTGTGTGTGAGGCGGCAGACCGCTGACGGGCCGCACCTATGAGGTGGGGGACGGCCCATTGTAAGCCCTGTGCCTGTCCGGCGCGCGGGCGAGGAGAGCCGTCGTGTTCGGGGTAGCGCCGGTCCGTCAGTCCGTCACGGTGAGCGTGACGGCCACGCCGCGTGGGCAGGTGACGGAGGCGGCGGCGTGGGCGGTCCGCCGTTCGGACTCAGGTCGGCCCAGGCAGCCGTGCTGGGGGTGAAGTCACCCATGGCTCGGCTGCCGGGCCGAGCGACAGCGACAGCGACTCGGCGACAGCGCGCGCTGACCTCTGACCGGCCGGGACGCCCCGACGTCAGCCTATCTCCGAGCGCCCGGCCGCCGCCTGAACGTGCGTTTTTGTCGCCGGGGACGGTTTTTTCTGTGTGCTGATCAGGAACACTGCGCGGGCGGCGGCGCACCAGGATGCAGGCCGGCGGCGGTCATGTTTTGCGGCCGGTCGGCCAGCGCTGCGCGTGGCGGGCTGTGTCGGGCTCGTCCTCGGC